AGCCCAATAGAAAGGCCCAACTCAAGGCCCAAGCAAAATTAGGGTTTTCACATAAAATGACGATTATGGTTAAGTGTTCTTACTTAACCCATTAAGGACTTAATACATTAAGTCCATCATTTTACTAGGTAAATCATATGGTGTGATCGGGTGTAATTCATAATTCAAATCCAATGACCCAAATGCGGGTCCCGATAAGTCCAAACCAACAAATCCAAAATTAGGTTTTTCTAAACCCTAATTAGGGTTTCCAACCCAATCGTTTGCCCATTAATCAAGTGGTTAAGTTTTTAGGTCAATTAAGGATTCATTAGGTCAATTAGGGTTAAATAAGTCGGGCACCACCCACTACCACCTCGGGTAGTGGTGGTCAACGGTGGCTCACGGCGGCGGCCACCACCTCATGGTTGTGGTTATGATTCTAAACCAAAACATGTTCAAGCATCTAACTAGCAATCCAATCACACAATGCATACCGCCACCCAACATGGCGGCAGGTGGCGGTAGAAGGCGACAGCCAACACCTTACGGTGGTGGTGGTGGGTTGTTTCCTTGATTAATCTGGCCAAACAGTACATACAACATATTATCTAAACAAAATACAAACATAATATAACACACACACACAGAGCCACCCTTGTGGTGGCAGGCGGTGGTTGGAGGCGACAGTCACCACCTCACGGTGGTGGTGGTTCTCTATCAATTCCCGATCACGCAACACATACTACAGCACACACACAAAATTAACATAATACAACAGCATACACACCCGGCTTGCGAACTACGAACTCAGCCACTTCGGTGGCAGGCGACGACCGGAAACACCACAAAAGGTGGCCACTCAAAGCTACGGGGTGTCGGACGCAGCTAGGTGTAGCACTGTTGGAACGGAGAGGAGATGTGACTGGGGGTGACGACAGCGACACCCACGACGACGGCTTTGCCCTTCTGATTTCCAACATGACGCGACGTTATCTCCGGGGAAGTTTCCCGTCGGTATTCGATACCGCCAGCAACAGAAATGTGCGAGGCTGGCTTCGTCGGTAGCGGATGCAGCAGCGAACAGCAGTAACGACAGCCCAAGGTTGGTCTCTTCCGATCGTCTACTACCATGGCGCCCAATGGCAGCCTTCGTCTTCAGAGGCGGTGGCGATTCAGTGGCGCAAGGTGGCGACGAGGGAGCTGGAGGAGGCGACCGGATGGATGGGATATAATGTGGGTGGCGGCTGTGAATAGTTTTTAGGGTTAGGGTTATGGGACGGGGGTGACGGGTTATATACCCCGACCCCATATGAAACTTCGTCACATGTTAACACAATCAGTCCCTCAACCTCTCATTCTTTTCAAATAAGGTCCATAAATTACCATTCAACCCCTTAGTCTCCAGAATCTATTCAATATAAGTCCAAATGATACCAAACATCCCCTGACTTCTGAAAATCTTTATAAAATAAATCCCGGAATTACACTTTAACCCCAGAAACTCCAAATTATATCATTTAGCTCCCCGAAACCATCACCCCGCTGAATATTATGGATTTTAGAGCTACTATTCATTTATTAAATTTTATCTATTTATTTATTTAATAAACGGGATGTTACAAATCATGGTTCTGTTAGATATATTATATTAATTTGAATCAAGCACAACCTTGTAAAATTTTCATATCTTGTTCCATCGTGTTCTAGTCATACCAAATGTTATACAAATAATTATTTTAGTTTTGTTTTGTCCAGTTCCGTCCAGTCCAGTCCTGTTGTGTTCCATCCGGTTCATGTACCAAACGCTACCTTAAGCACATATGTCCAAACTTCAGATCTAGGTCACAAAAGATGCTCTAAACCATAAACGTTCCAACTTTATGGTCTAGCATGGCTATTAAGCCCTTAACACCAAAAACCCTAGTCTCTTAACCTATTAAGATCATCTAGCACTTGCATGGAGGAAAACTAGTGACCAAGAACCCAACTTTATGACTTAACACCCCTTAAAACCTCTGAAAGAACAACTCAATTGCCTTGGAGTGCCTTTTACTCACAAAGACCAAGTTTGCTTGGAAGCTTGGTAACTTGCCACCGTGGTGTAGCTCTAAGGTTAAAAAGTCTCAAATGTTTTCATTTCACCTCTATTATTCATATCATAAAGAAAAGCTAGAAATTTTCAGAAGTAGAGGATTACGGGAATTAACCATAATCGTTTGAGGTTTCATATGTTTGGTTTTTTGGCCTTATCACCCATATTATGAATACCATTTTCAACTGAAATGCAAAAACAATAAACCACCTTGGACCAAATCTCAATTAGGGATTTTACGTTGTGTATCAATTATGAAGAAAAGAGAAGTGGAAGAGGCAAGTGAGATTTTGATGTATTTATGACGCTAATACGGTTACAGTTGTCGCTCATGTAAAAAGATATTTATGCCCTTATATGCGATGAACGCGAGGGGTGTAACTGCCATAAAGTAACAGCTGTTAACTCCAGGGACATATTCCACAATAAATTTCTATAAAAAAAGACCACATCCATAATTTTCTAAAGGTTTGAACCTTAACCACATGAAATGAAAAACCATAAGCATTATTTTTCAATTTTGTCTATAAAAATCAAAATTAAAGTAAATAAAGACAAATTAGTCATTTAATGAACCAAAATTATAATAAAACATGCTGAGAAGGATCATATTTGTAATTTTGAAAAAAAAAAAAACCGGGACTAAGTTGCAAGTTTTCTCTTTCTTATAAAACAACTATCATGATTATTCATGAACATGGTTTTTCAGATACTGTATTGGTATTAATGATGAGTGTATACTATCGTACATATTTACAATAGTACACTAAAAACTACATGCAAAACCTTGGGCCACTTTTCACCGCCAACCAGGTAACCAACATATGATAAAATAATAAAAAAATCCTCTCAAAATGCAAAGTTATTTTGTATTCTTGCGATTAATTGCAGAGTAGCATTGACAAAACATAGAGTTAGTAACGTATCGAAATAGAGATATATTAAATTGAATAATCACATGGCATCAGTCTATCATGGTTGGATACTTGGATTAACCCGAATATTTTTCCTTTTATTTTTCTATAAATCATTTTTCGTAGACATGATCATAATTCATAAGAAATATATTGCTATAAATAATAAATTTTATAAATACTACACCTTAAAAAAGTTATATACATCAAAAATGTTATGATTGACATATTACCTGAAAAGCTAGTTGATAGCTGAAAAATTGACTGATAGTTAAAAGGCTAGTTGTTATATAAAAACTAATTGATAACTGAAAATCTAACTGATAAAATTTGAGATTTGGTAAAACGAGTTGAAAAGCTAGCTAAAAGATATTAAATGATATAAAAGGGTATTTAAAATAATATGTTTCTATAATTAATTAAGGGTATCTTTGAAAAATTAAAAAAAAAAACTAATGAAAAGTCAGTTTAAGTAGCTTTTTAAAAAGCTAGCTTATAAGCTACTTTTTGGCTTACCAAACATAACAACTAAAAAAAGCTCAAAAAAATAAGTTAACTTATCAACTAATTGTGGCACGCAAAACACAAACTTTTATGTATTTCCCATAATGTGTTTTTTAGAACTTTTAAAAGTTTTTAACTAGTAGTTAATACAAACATAAAGTTTTTATTTTAAACAAAAACTACTTTTTCTTTTTTATTGAAACCTTACGATATAAAACATTTTTATATAAATAAAAACTACAACTTTTAAATTACTATTACCAAATTCAAGCTATAAACTTATTTTTTAAACAGACCTTATATTTAATCTATTTGACACCTCTCGGGGAGGGTTTATGTGAAAATGCAAATAATTTTGTGAAAACGCAAAAACAAGAAAAACCTATGAGATCGTGTCACCTCAATCTTATATTTTGGACAATAATTCATCCAAAATTTGAAATGCACGACGATAATCGATGATACATGTGAAATTGTTTCATATTAGCAAATCATGTTTTTTTGACTTTCTTATTATAAAACTTTAATTTAAAAGTGGTTAAGGACATGAAAAAGAAAAAAAAAAACGGTTGTTAAAACCACATTTAAATCTATATTACCATAACACATCCCCTTTAACTTATTATTTTTAATTTAGTGCTAATAAATTTAATTTCTAAAATACATGTGTTTGATTTGTATTAAATAAAATATACTTTTACATTTCGTAAAGTATTTATGTTTTTTGCATACTTTTTCTTTTAAATAAAGACAACTTATTTAATTATAAGTTTACATATGTAATCATAAAAAATTTGAACTTAAAGAAAAACGGTTCAGATTGGTTTTTATTTGAATTTTGAAATATAGATATTTTTCGGATAAAATGCAAATAAGGATAATTTATTTGAACTAAATTACATTAAATGGTGTGTTTTTAAATTTAATTATTCTGTTTATATTTTTATTACGAAATTACAAATATATTATCTTGATATAGCTCCGTAGGTTTGTAATATGGATCAATACCATAAGTTATCAACGAACTAAAAAAATAATTAATACAAAAGATAATAAATCTATTTAATTACACTTCAACTCAAACATGTCATTTTTCAAGTTTATATCTTGTTAAGGGTTAAATTCATACACTAACAATGTATTTAAAATGAAATTTTATCTTAAAATCACATTATGTTTTGATTATTGTTCAATTTAAGACCCAAATTCAACCCATTTTTCAACAACAATTTATTTGACCAATACATTATATTCTTATTTTACATTAAATACTAAAAACACGTTGTTAAAACTTGAATAAATTCAATAAATATTAAGATGTTCTACATAAAACTGGATAATCCAACCATTCAATTATGTATTATTTTATTTAAAATACGATTGAATTTATAACCGGATAAACGTTAAGGTATTTTAGTATTTATCATGTTTATAAATACTAATAAATTATTGTAAAAAAATAAAAATAAAAAACTTTGAAGGTTTGGAGGGGCGGGGGGATGAATATTGGCTTATATATACCCCACCCCCAAAACTCTTCTCCTCCTCTCTTTCCTCTTCATTTTCTTGCTCAATCAAAAATGGCAGCCAACAATGGAGTCGCTAAGGAGGGAGGATTGATCGTCAGCTTCGGCGAGATGCTGATCGACTTTGTACCGACTGTTTCCGGCGTATCGCTGGCGGAGGCGCCGGGATTTTTGAAGGCACCAGGTGGTGCTCCGGCAAACGTCGCGATCGCGGTGTCAAGGCTCGGCGGAAAGTCAGCTTTCGTCGGTAAGTTAGGAGATGACGAGTTCGGACACATGCTCGCCGGGATCTTGAAGGAGAACGGCGTCTCCGGTGAAGGAATCAACTTCGATAAAGGAGCACGTACTGCTCTCGCATTTGTTACACTGAAAGCCGACGGCGATCGCGAGTTCATGTTCTACCGAAACCCTAGCGCCGATATGTTATTGACTCCTGATGAACTCAACCTTGAGCTCATTAGATCTGTACGTATTTCTTCTTCGTACTCTTCTCTGATACACCTATACATACAGTAGATTCTATATCTATATGCCTGACGTCATATATTGTTGAAACCGTGGCAGCGCGTGTGTTTCACGCGCCTTAATCTTTTTCACACGCCTCCTCACACCCACCACCACTTAGATTTTTAATACATAATTAACCACCAAAAAGGACAGTTTTGTTGACTTTCCATGTATTCCCTTCATTTTAGACGAAAATACAAACTATACCCATTTTTTTTTTATAATTTTTATAGTTTCAAGTTGTTATTTTAATTCAATTGGATCGTCTTCTTAATCCATAAATATATAAATTTAGGCATAAGCATACAAACATAATACATACAGATGGATACTTTCAGATTAGTTCCAAAATCCAAAAATCTAATCTATACATACAATAATGGAATACAATTAATTGATATGTTTCCCAATTTGTACTCTTTGATTACTAATACAATATTCCTAATAACAAGAGAGATCTTCTAAACTAAAACCAATATTACTTTTTTTTTTTTTGTAAAAGATTTAAATAAAGGTAAAGGAATAGCTTTAGATTCAGATCTTGTGTTTGCGAAAATGTTTTTGAGTAAAGATAATTCAAAGCGATTGCCAATTAGTCAAAATCGTAGCAAAACCAAAAAAAAGTTTTATTAATTGTTTGAAGACGTTGGAAGTTGGAAGTACGCATTTATTTGTGGATAATTTAAAACAAGTTGTATTTATCCATTGACTTATATGCAATTGTTTTTAATATAAATGTTAAATAATTACTATTATTCTGCGCATTAATGTGATAAACGGGATTTTCAAAATTAGTGGGGTGTGATTCACATTTTCATGCACTGATTCGAAACAGAAGAGTGTGCATCTACACGTGGTTTTGTACAATTGTGTAAAACTAACAGCAAATTTTGTTTTTTTTTTCTTCCATTTTTTAATTTTCAAAATTCAATATTTATACCACTAACTACTAAGTATTCGTTAATTCCAAGAATCTATTTAAAAATTTACTGAATTAAATAAAAATATTAATTTTTATTTTTCAGGCGAAGGTATTTCACTATGGGTCAATAAGTTTGATAGTGGAGCCATGCAGATCAGCACATCTGAAAGCAATGGAGGTGGCGAAAGATGCAGGGGCACTTTTGTCATATGACCCAAATCTCCGGCTGCCACTGTGGCCATCGCCGGAGGAGGCGCGTGAGCAAATCATGAGCATTTGGGATAAGGCTGAAGTCATTAAAGTCAGTGATAATGAACTTGAATTTCTCACTGGAAATAACAAAATTGATGATGAATGTGCCATGTCTTTATGGCACCCTAATTTGAAGCTTTTATTGGTCACTCTTGGTGACAAAGGTTGCAATTACTACACCAAGGTATTTATTAAATAATTAAATTTGTTCAAATGCAGTAACACTTTAAAAAAAATATTAGGTTTTAATTGTTGAAAAAAAGGTACATGGCATCAAAAAAAGGGGGTAGTGGGCATATTTTGACCGTTTTTCTTTGGTCAAATTTTTGGGTTTTGTGAAATTAATAATAAACGCGTTTTTAATTTCTTATATACCTAACGCACGATTTAAAAGAATATGTTTAGACCAAATTTTATGTTTTTGAAATAATACCAATACGAGAAAGTACAACTTTGGATGGACATTATGTAGAAAAGGGAAAAGAGTATCTATATATGAAAAGAAAAGTAGTGTTGGAATCATTGGTTTTTTTAGTGCTAAATGAGTTGTTTTTTGGATTTACTTTTATTTATGTAACATTTTTTTTAACTATTTCGGTAAACTTGCTCATAATTATGTTTTTTTTTATAAACTGAAAATTTCAAATTTCTATTTCAAATTCACCCAATTGTTGTTATGTTTCATGATTATAGCTTAAAGTGCTTGATTAGTACGCGAAAAGGGGCCACCTCCAACTTTATATAATAATTCCATTTCATTAGAAATGACAATAAAGAGTTAAAGAGTCACACATCATGATTATATCCACAAATGGTGTACACACTTGACCTTTGATTTCATGTGCTTTTCATGCCAAAAGTAAAATATTCTCCAATTTAAAGGCTTAACCCCTACTCTTGCATCTAGAATAAAATAATTTATTTTTCATTATTCTTTAATCTATCTTGTCATTGTGGTGGTTGCAGCATTTTCATGGAACAGTTGGTGCGTTCGCAGTTAAAGCCGTTGACACAACGGGTGCGGGTGACTCCTTTGTTGGCGCACTTTTGACTAAGCTTGTTGATGATCATTCCGTGTTAGAGGTAATACAATTGTCAGAAGTTTGAGCTGCTTCAACAGCCGGTTATCTGTTGATTATAAGTAGTTGGGCTTTTGTCTTAAAGCCCAACTACTAATCAACACCAGCTGTTGAAAGTTGAAACTAATTGTAGATGTCCAACTGACGAACTTATTAAATAAATTAAAATATAATATAATTGTTTGTAAGTATAAATTTTGTATTTAAAATTTTATTATATATGAAAATACAGGATGAAGGAAAGTTGAGAGAGTTGTTGAGATTTTCGTGTGCTTGCGGAGCTATCACCACCACCAAAAAGGGGGCGATTCCGGCCCTTCCTTCTGTATCGGAAGTTCATACCTTTTTGGATGCTTGTTAGCATTAGGGGAAACTTTGTTTGTCTATTGTTTCTTGTTCTTCTTTCTTGATCGAATAATAATGGTTTTGTGTTATCATCCATTGGTGTTTAAAGAAAACAAAAGATGAAATTGAGTAGCAAAAACCAGGGATTTTGTGATTGAATTGACGAGATTTATATGTTTAGATTGTTTCTTGTTTTGTTTTGTTTTGTGTTCTACAGAACGTTTGATTTAAATACGAAATTTCCTATTTATTGCTTCAATAAACTTGGTCGATATATTATAAAAAAAATGCTCGTAAAAAGAACGTCATTTCAATTGATCTTTATATTTTACAATTTACAATATTTCAAAAACAATCGCAACTTCAATGGCTTTATATTAAAAGTTTATAATAAATAAATTAAATTCGTCAATACATGGACTTCTTAGTAGCCATTTAACTTGTTTGATTATAAATCAAATACATATAATGAAAAATGGTAAGCAACTTGTTCATATATAAGAAGCTTTAAAATATACGATGATAACATGTAACAATAAATTAAAAAGTATTAATGTTGACAATATTTGTGGTTTTTAATATTAATAGTGAAGTTTATAACAATGTGTCTGCTTTCGATTTAATTTTTATTATATTTACGACTTTAGGGGCTTATTTTTTATTTTCGTCCTGAACCCACTATATCTTTAGACCGGCCCTGGTCTTCATTGGTGACACATGATACATATGTAATTAGATATGTTAAATTCATCTTCTCATACATTTTACATGATATCTGGGTTGGCGTCCAACATCCTAGTGTGTTAACAAATATTTGTCTATCCTCACTGAGCTACCGTCTATCCGAGGTGTTATAGTGTTCTTATATTGATGCAACACAATCCTATATGCCACATTGCGACTATATATATATATATATATATATATATATATATATTATATATATATATATATATATATATATATATATATATAAAAGTCTTTGTAGAAAGAAGAGTGACTCCAATATATATATATATATATATATATATATATATATATATATATATATATATATTTTGGAGTCACTCTTCTTTCTACAAAGACTTTTATGGAGGGTAAACTAAGGACTCCTGGTATATTAAGTATTATGGTTAACATTTACTACCTCAATACATATCAATATCTATCCTTATCGTTCCCCTATTTTTGGGTAAGAGGGTTAGCGGGGGCACACACAAATGCTCTCTCTCTCTCTCTCTCTCTCTCTCTCTCATAAAGAGTAGTAAACCAATGCCTACATATATCTAATGGCGTAGTGTATCTCAATTATATCACGCACACACAAATGCTCTCTCTCTCTCTCTCTCTCTCTCTCTCTCTCTCTCTCTCTCTCTCACTCATAAAGAGTAGTAAACCAATGCCTACATATATCTAATGGCGTAGTGTATCTCAATTATATCACATGATCCTATATGTCACATATATGTTGACGTCTCTCATCTCTTCTCAAATAATTTTCGGAAAGTAAACCAAAGACTCTATGTATATCTAATGTTATATCGTATCTCATAATGGTACGACACGGTCCCATGTGTCACACATATATGTGCGAGACTAAACCAATGACTCCACATATTCTTAGTGTTAGGAATAATGTGCAAGTAAACAATTTTTGTACTACTAATTATGTGTGAGACTATGAGGTCACACTAAAATCTATAAAAGATTCATTAAAGATAATAAATATTTATTAAATATCTTATTATTTATCAACCAAATAAATATTAAGTAATAGAGATTTAGTTATTATTTATAAATCAAAACAATTTAAAGTAAAATAAGTTAAGGAGATTTATTTATTAAATAAAAAGTTCATTTGTTAAAGTCAAGTAAATTAATTAAATTAATTAATTTGTTGGCATAACTTATTATTTGAGCTAAAAAAGGCTTAAAAGTCTTTAAAAAAATAACAATATTTAAGGAGGTAATAAGATTAATTATGGTATTAAGCAAGACACACTTAATACCTTAATTTCATCTACCCTCGTCCCTTCTTTGGCGACGTCTACTAGCCAAGGAAAATCAATAAACTCATTCGGGTTTATCGATTTTTCACAAGATGAATGTGGTTCCTTGATATTTTGCTTTGATTGGTTAAAGATTAATAATTCATCTGAATTGGCTTGTGTGAATAGCATAGATACAACATACTTTGGTGGTTGTATCCTACATTGAAGCTCTAATGGTATGTATTCTAAATTTTATATCTCTTATGGTTGTGTTTTAAGTTGATAATATTATGTCTAATTAGATCGTTTGAGATGGTTGTTAATACGAATATCAAATACAATGAGAATTACATTGTCAATACACAAAAATTAGTGATCACAGTACAAAGAATGAGAAGGCAAACGTGCAACAAGTTGCGCCGCTAAACCTTCTTGTATGATAAAACAAATTCTTTTGAAGACTACATCTATAGATTTAGTGGATATAACATTACTATGCATGATCTGTTCTACTCTATTAAGAAGGTTCACCGCGTCCGGTGCGAGGAAACCAAACATATCAAATGCAAATGGTATGAACACGTATTGATTTTCCAAGCTCGATTTCTCATGTTTTGTAACTTTGTATGTGGCAGCTTCTAAAACAACATATCCCGCCTTGAAACCCCCAGCCCTCAAGCCCACGAGATGGGATACCCCTGTAAGGTCCACATAAACGTGTTTCCCTCCAACTCATCCAAAAACCAAAACATCAGCTGGTCTAAGGGTTGACCTTCCTTCTATCGGGTCAGTCAACAAATTCAAAGGTGCCTATTTCTTGGCGGAAACCCCGACACGCTTAAATATGTCAAACAAAACATTCCTAACCATATTGTGTCGGTATTTAAACCCCGAGAGCTCTTTACAATGAACCAGATGCTCTCATAAAGAGTTCAAACATGCCTTGCGGCACACCAGACACATCTCGTCAGCTGGAAATATAGGAATCATGAACCGATATTTAAGGATGGTGCGATACTCCACATGAGACATATGTTGGCCAATGTCACATCCCCATTTTCACGGCCAGAAAAGACCGATTTGTTTATGCTTCATTTTTAAGATCAGAGTATACTTTTATAGAAAAGTGTTGCGGAATTTTGTTCCCAGAAAACATGATAAGTATGTTATCAAAACATTTTTCGAAGAAATGTATTTTATTCATTTTAAAACTTTGGGATGTCAACGTCAATACAGAAACATAAGCATAAACAGAACTTACATTCATTTATACTAGTGATCTACATCTCTTTAATCTCTCAGTGTAGTGTAGCTTTATATCGACACATGTGATACAAATAAACTGAGTGGGTCAGGTTGGAAAACCTGGTGAGTACATAGGGATTTCAATCCCACAATGTTATATCATATATATATATATATATATATATATATATATATATTAGAACTCACAAAATATACAATTTCACCATATATAAGCAACTTTACCCCACCCCGTCGATCCTCACAACGGGACGATCCATACCCTAAAATTAACCTCTTTACCTAATCCATACTCCCGGATCCAAAATTCACCTCCTTACCTAATCCACACTCATGGATCTAAAAGTTACCTCTTTACCTAATCCATACTCCCGGATCGGATATGTCTGATCCATACTCCCAGATCTAAAATTTACCTCCTTACCTAATCCATACTCCCGGATAGGGTATGTATGATCCTTACTCCCGGATCTAAAATTTACCTCTTTACCTAATCCATACTCCCGGATCGGGTATGTCTGATCCATGCTCCCGGATCTAAAAACAAGTAAATATGTCCTAACCATACTCTCAGACTAAGTACAACTAACTAAGTCTAATCCATACTCTCAGATAGATGACAAGTTTTAAAGTTATTCCCTCCGTGTATATCTCATTTGTACTCACAAGGAGATACTACCCAATATCCCTCTTAATTTATTTAGGTCTACTCTGTATCCTAAATCAACATATATTTATCAGATATGCTCTTAACACGTATTTCAGGCAGTATCAAAACCAACTATTTCATCTACCCATGTTCTACCCAACATATTCGTAGATATAAAATACATATACAGTTCAGATCTGAAGAAAAAAGTTTAGATCTGAAAAACTAAGAAGTGTAAATCTTTCATCTAGCACAGATCTCAAGTAAACAGATAATATGCACACATAAACTCTTTAACAAATATTTAATTCTTTAACAAATATTAATAATTTAATTAATACTTGTATTAAAATCATGTTCATTAAAGGGACTATGCACTCACTTGATAAGGTGATGATTCGGACAACACTTCGTTTTTCAAAATAATCTTCTTTGACGAAACCAGGAGGTTTGCTTGAAAACCGGGCTCTGCACGGGCAGAGTTTCGAACCGAAAAACTCTTTTTCTCGGAGACTTCGGGCTCTCCGAGGCTTCCTTCGGGGGCTAGGGGGTTTTCCTAGGCTTTTGGAGGGTTTAGGGGGCTAGAGAGAGAAAGTGGTGAGAGAAAGATATGAGGAAATGAGCAAAAATCTCGGCAGCCCTCGCATGCCTTTTTATAGGCGGAGCCTCGCAGGTACGCTGGGCGTACCGAAGCTCTACGCGGGGCGTACTGCTCGGTTCGTACAATACGTGTTGGTCTTCGGAAGGATCATCGTGGCAGGCTCCGGACCGCAGAAGAATTCAAACCGCTGAGCGTACCTTCGGTGTACGCGGGGCGTACTTGGTACGCGAGGCGTCCGAAGTCTACGCGGGGCGTAGCCTCGCATCCAGCTTCGCAATTTGCATCTCCAACTTCTAAAATTCATAACTTTCGTATACGATCTCCGTTTTCGACGTTCTTTATATCCACGCGTAGGCGGGACCGTACTCTACGACTTTCATTTAGACTTCGTCGGCTAATTCTCAACCGATTTTTTAAATTTATATTCTTTAAAAAATAGGGATAATAAAGCCTGTTAAAATTTCATAACTTCTTCATCCGACGTCCGTTTTTGTCTGTCTTTTTACCATTGCGCTACCATTAACGAGATCTTCGTTTCTCGTTTAGGTTGTGTCGGCCAAAAATCGATCGATCTATTATTCGAACTTCGGGCTGCATACTGCTAAGCCGAAACTTAGAAAAAATCATAACTTCGTCATACGAAGTCAGATTTGGGCGTTCTTT